TTGAGTATTACTCTGTTCTTGTGAAGTATGACCAAAAATTGCAGAGAGGTAGAGATTTATCGCATTAGATTGCCTGGGCCCTTGAAACTTGGGGAAGGAAAACCAGAAAACCAGAATCATGCCATAATTTTCACTCGAGGTGATGCTGTTCAGACCATTGACATGAACCAAGACAATTATTTTGAGGAAACACAGAAGATGCGAAATTTGTTGGAGGAGTTCAAGATGAATCATGGTATTAGGAAGCCAACCATTCTTGGAGCTCGTGAGAATGTCTTCACAGGTTCAGTTTCGTCCCTCACGTTGTTTATGTCTGCTGAGGAAACAAGTTTTGTGACCCTTGGGCAGCGTGTTCTGGCCAACCCTTTGAAGGTGAGAATGCACAACGGTCACCCAGATGTGTTTGATCGATTTTGGTTAGCAAGGCTTCTAGAGTGATTAATGTCAGCGAGGACATATTTGCAGGCTTCAACTGCACTTCAGAGGCGGCAATGTAACAGGTGGGTAAAGGAAGGGATGTGGGATTGAATCAGATATCTATGTTTGAGGCCAAGGTTGCCAGTGGCAACGGTGAACAGGTATTGAGCAGAGATGTCTACCGATTGGGTCACAGGTTGGATTTCTTTCGGATGCTTTCCTTTTACTACTCATTTGTTCGACACTATTTCAACACGATGATGGTGGTACTGACTGTTTACACTTTTTTGTGGGGCCGCCTCTATATCTCGCTCATTGGAGTTGAGCGTCACGCCAAGAATCAAAGTATCAGCAATGAGGCTCTTGGAACAATCTTGAATCAGCAATTCATAATACAGCTTGGTCTGTTCACTGCCCTTCCAGTGGTTGTTGAGAACACTCTTGAACATGGATTTCTTCAGGTAGTTTGGGATTTCTTGAAAATGCAATTGCAGCTAGCTTCATTTTTTTTCACCTTCTCTATGGGAACACGGACCCATTTCTTTGGACCATCCTTCATGGGGGTGCCAAATACAGAGCCACTGGACGTGGTTTTGTGGTTGAGCATAAGTCCTGTGTAGAAAATTATCGACTTTATGCTCGAAGCCATTTTGTGAAGGCAATTGAACTTGGTGTTATCTTAGCTGTGTATGCTTCATATAACCCCCTCGCTAAGGATTCATTTGTTAACATAGCTATGACCATTTCAAGTTGGTTCCTTGTGGTGTCATGGATGATGTCCCCTTTTGTGCTCAACCCGTCTGGCTTTGACTGGCTGAAGACGGTGAATGATTTTGATGATTTTATGAATTGGGTATGCTGTAGAGTTGGCGCACTTGCAGAAGCTAATAAGATCTGGGAATGGTGGTACGAGGAACAAGACCATTTGAGAACAACAGGTCTTTGGGGAAAGCTACTAGAGATAATTTTGGACCTTCGTTTCTTCTTCTTCCAGTATGGTATCGTGTATCAGTTGAGCATTGCAAATCATAGAACCAGTGTTGGTGTGTACCTGTTATCTTGGATGTATATGATTGTGGCTGTTGGGATCTATGTGATTATAGTATACGCCCAAGACAAATATGCTGCAAAACAGCACATCTACTATCGGGTAGTTCAGCTTGTAGTCGTTATACTTGTGATACTTGTGATTGTCTTATTGCTGGAGTTCACTTCATTTAAGTTTATTGATCTTGTGACAAGTCTTATAGCATTCATTCCTACGGGATGGGGTATGATATCCATTGCCCAAGTGGTTAGACCTTTTTTACAATCCACTGTGGCGTGGAGACTGTAGTTTCCTTGGCACGGCTGTATGATCTGTTGTTTGGAGTGATTGTCATAGCTCCTGTGGCATTAGTGTCGTGGTTGCCCGGATTCCAGGTAATGCAGACAAGAATCTTATTTAATGAGGCATTTAGCAGAGGTCTGCAGATTTCTAGGCTTATTTCCGGTAAAAAGTCAACTGAATGATGTTGAGGTAACTTTGTTTAATCATACTTGGGTTTAAGCATTTGCAATTTTTTGTTCAACGATATTCATTCCGGCTGTGCATGTATAGTTGGATTTGGTGAAGTTTTTTAGCAACTTTTGCGTGCTATATGTTTGACAAACATGTTTGTCTGTTTTAATTTATTCTAATATTCAACTGCAAGCTGATACTTTTAACAATATTACGTTATATCACCATGCCAACTGATTTTCTTTTCTAGTCCTATGTTTAGGTTTTCACAAGCCATAACCATAAACATATATTCCTATCTGAAAACCAGTTGGCAACATGCTTCATATTATTGAAGTTCAAGTCTTAAGTATAGACAGTTTGAACTTGCAAAAACCAAACTTGTTCTTATGCGTATCTATATTTCAATGCCGGCTTCTATAAGCTATACATTGTAGGGTTCCCAAACCAGGCAGCTACGAGATGCTCATTTTCCACTTTGGAGTAACCATGTAAATCATTGGGCATGGTCTGCATAAATAGTGCTAGTGTATCAAAAAAATACAAGGTTAAGGAATCAGGGTCATTTCTTCAGGTGGAAAGGAGTTTAGGGTTTTTTCCTTTGTTGGTCTTGTCTATGTAGGGAAACAAAATGGGGGTCTGATTAAGGTCTTGATATCACTTTGTTATCTGATTATATCTCCTTTTGTTATTCAGAGCTTCAAATGATGAAACTCTTGGCATTATTTGAGAAAAGAGCAGAGCCTGAAGCTTGAAAGCTGAACTAAATGAAAAGTAAAGAAAATTGACAAACAATGCAATGATAGTGCTCTGCTTCGATATCAAATGAAGGTATCCTTGCAGCTGAGGACTACGATGCCATAATCTAATCTCTCTTCCCTGTTCACCTTATTCATCTGTAATTCAGGGTAAAAAAATGTAGTCTTTCGAGTTTCGTTCATCTCCTATAAATAGTTTGAATGAGTTCATAAAGATTCCTCAAGTTTTTCACATTTAACATGCAAATTCAAGGTTTCTCCATTACAGTTAAAAGTAAAGAGGTAATTGCACAGAGTTTGATATCTTAGTCTCGATTGAATTCAAGGATTAAAAAACTCAGTTAAATTAGTGTGAACTGTGCTACTTTGATACAAAAAAATAATATCAGCAGGGGAATAACTTCAATGCCATAAAGGTGAAGATCAGAGTGAAGCTTACATGCTCCTCAACGACAGCATGAACAGCAATATTCTAACAAGTTCAAAGGTCAATATCCTAACAATTTTGCTTACCATTTTACTTAGGATACTAACCCTACGCTTATCAAGTAGTAATGTTAACATCTTACAAGTGATTAAAGTTCCGAGTTGTTATATGCCTTTTTTTTTTTTGAATTATTGGACTGCCATTAAAACAGTAAGCATTGCAGCAATGACTAAAGCACCACAGGGAGCCGCCTGAACCAATCAAGTGAACAAATTCCACTTTTAGTTAATTTTGCTACCGAGTCAGCAGCTTTGTTACAAGTTCACAGAACATGAGAAAAACGTACATTCAAGCAACTAGGCAACAAAGAAAATATATCATCAGTGGCAGCATTGAACTCTCAATGTACATTGCCGTTTCCTTTCAAGCTATTCATGATTCTTTGGTTATTCGATTCCATGATAACATTCTGCAATTGCTGTGATTTAACCAACATGGAACCTAGCTGCACAGCAAGAGATTCTGTCACTAGTGACGAATGAGGAAAGACTAGTGCGTTTGCTCCCGTCAACATGGAACCTATAGTTTTGTGGTTGGAATCGAAGGTGCCGTCAACGTTGAATTTGAACAAATCCAGGAGAGGTTCCATGTTTGGGTGGCTCACGGTTCATTTGAAGGATGACTCGCAGCTTCTTTTGATGTCGGGAAATCATGGAAGCTTTTCCTAGGCTTATTCTATACTTGAACGAAGAGCCAGAGGTTACGACTCTTCCAAATTGTCCAGCTTCTGCATAAATTTAAATTTTAACGACACTAATGAATTTAGAATAGTTTTGGCTGGTGTTCGAGAATGCGTACAAGTTACTCTTGAGCATCGTTATCCTTGACGACGGAGATAGATAGGTATGGCGAACCAGAAACTTATTGCTACTTGAGATCTGTAATGTGGACAGCCATAATTGGTTTGTTTTTTCAGGTCCTCGGCTCTGTTTGGAATTATTTATTTCACGAGATAATGTGTTGGAATTATTTATTTCACGAGATAACGTTCTCTCAAGATTAATTGTTGAAGTAAGGGGAATTGCACAGTATTGACCGTAGGTCGCCATACCTTCCGGACGACCTACGACGTGGCAGCTTCCGACGAAGGAATGATCGTTGTGCATGTCCCATGCACAACCCAACCCATAAAACGCCATGCACACCCAGTGACTTCCTAGGTCGCCATGCACTCCGGGCGATCAAGGAGGTCGCCATGCACGCCCGACGACCAAGCTTTTAACCCTCTGCACGCCCTGCATGTCATTGCTGGGAGATTCCTGTCCGACGACCAAGCTTTAACCCTCTGCTCCTTCATGCATGCGTTGCATCCATAAAGCGGGACGTGCAGAAATATCACATGGCCATGCAAGGAGACAAGGTCGCCGGGCGTGCATGGCGACCTCCTTGGACGACCGGAGTGCATGACGACCTATGGGTTGGGTTGTGCATGGGACGTCTGAAGCTGCCACGTTTTAGGTCGCCCAAAAGGCAAGATGACCTACGACCAACACTGTGTAATTCGCCCTACTTCAGCAATTAATCTTAGGAGAACGTTATCTCGTGAAATAAATAATTCAAATACATTATCTCGTAGATTTAACCCGCTCGCTAAGCACTGATGTTTCTGCCACTGCAACTCTGAGGGGTGGTTTTGTTCAGCTTCTAAAGTGCACCGAAGTTTCACCCAACTAAGCACTGACATTCATTCCTCCATTCTCACTAAGAAAACTAACACTACAAAACAATGGTTTTTAAGCTCAAAATTAATCTAACACAAAAGTTACCTATCAGATTCGAGAAATATAGTTAAGAAGGAGACAAGGCTAAGAAATTTTCTTTACAGACACAAGGCTGCTTGCTACCTTCTTACTCTCTTTTCAATCAGTTCAAAGACCCAACTTCAAAAAATATGTACTTCCGAATTACAAGATATCAAAATATTAAAAAAAAAACACACAGAAGCATCAACAACAAACAATGTAAATTTTTTGCAGAAAAAAATTGAGACGCAAATCTAATCATACTTTTCTCTCCAAGAGTAAACCAAAAAGAAGACCCAAGAGAGAGCCAAAAAAATGTCGCCAACTGTTTGCCTAAGCCAATCCCAAGCTAAATCCTCCACCTTTCTCTCGAACCAGAACCTCCATATCGCCACCATAACATGCAAGACAGTGCAGCCTTTGGAAAAGAAGGATTGAAAGCTTCTGTCTTTGACAAAAGAGACCATGAAGAGCAAGAACCCGATCGCGAATAGGAGCAAACCCGAGAAAGAATCGGATGTCCGGATCAAGAGCTGATCATGCGGGGTAGAGCCCAGGAGCTTCGTGGCGGTCTCGATCCCGTGGGTGAAGGTGTAGATTTCCTTCATCTTGAACATCATGAGTGCGCCGCTCGACAAGGCGATCGCGAAGTGGAGAAGACAGATCAGCATGAAAGCTGACGATGATGATGTTGTTGTCGACATTTTTGTGGGGTTTTCTTTACCTTTCTAAATTCGATTATGAAGTGATTGGCAAAACAGGCATGGTTGTAGTAAATTAAAACCCCAACCCTAAGCTCATTTCAAGAAGAAATTTTTTTCCGTCGACTTATTTTTTGAAGATTCAGGGGAGCTGGGTCTTTTTACCCAAGATAAGGATCTGGTGGGACTCACTCCGACACATGAAAAATAATATGCCCGTCCTTTTATAGACACGTGGCATATTCTAAGTAGAGCCGACAGGTAAGAAAGAGTGTGTACATTTTGTACTGCTTTTAATTTGTTCGGCTGAAAATACTCATCCCCATCAATTCCAGAGAGTAATTCCCAATTTTGAGTTGTTAACTACGTTTCGTTTCAAATAATTTTAATCTTTTTATTGAATTTATCGATTGCAATACTTTCAAAAATTGTATATTTAAATATGTTTGAATAACAATATTTATATATATAAAAGATATTTTTCTATTCATTACCGCAAGAGTTTTTTGGTGGTATTGGTATCACATGGATCTTAATAACCATTTGGGATCATAGTTTTATATACATAAAAAATGAATGATAATAGGTATTGTTAAAAGGTTTAAAAGGAAGATTTTGGATGAACTGTATTTAGTTTTTTATGGAACATAACTACAACACTCTCTTCCAATCAGTTGGCGATGAAAGTTTCCGAATGTGGAGGAAAAAGAGAATGACAGTTAACATCGAGAAAACTTCTACCTTGAAACGATTTTGTTGCCATCTCTTCCATGTCTTGGCAAGACACCTGAAGTTTCAGGCGAAGATATCGTAGGCGGATCATTGGCCAAAGATAGCGGTGACGGTGGAGGAGCCATATGAGCCCGACGCTCTAAAATTTCCTTATGGTATTGCTGCAAGCAACGCAGAGAGACAAATCATTTGTTAATTTTAACAAATGAATGAATGATTATTAGCTGAAATAATTTTAAGAAAATTGCTTGAGCATAAATACCTGAAAGACAAAGTTGCGTCTTTCACAATCCCAGAACATATTCAGTGTCCAATTTGTCTTTGCCGCAACCTTATCCCTTACTGTCGAAAAGCTAATTTGGTCTCTGGAAGTAAAACGGTCCACTTCATTGAACCAAAGACAAGTAAAGAGGTTGCTAATAGGAACATGCTCCCTTATTATTACACATCCTTCAGGAACATCTGCAGACACAGCCATTACAGCAAACCATATTCAAGGCATGGTAGAATAAATAAATAACACAAGATCAAGTATCTTCAACTCTACCGCTAGTAATAGGAAGTTTAGCCTCAGAATATGGGGTCAAACCCTCCATTTTATAAAATTCAATCTGAAAGTCAATGGATGCATTATCATATTTGCCACCAGCTTTATTCGCCTCAGCTTCAACAAATACGTCAAAGCGTTTATAATGCCGAGAAATTGCAAAAGTAGCATTTTTTCTCCACATGAACCTGAAAGAAAGCTTGGAAAAGTTAGAATAAACAAACATTAATTAAGCAGGCAAAAAAACACAGACGCAATAAAATGCTATGGCATAAAACAATGGAACATTGCAATAGTCATGGTAGTGATCAAAAAGCTATGATAAACTCACATCCAGTATCATTTGATCACCTAAGACCTAAGAATCTTATAAATTTGGAAGTACCTCTCAAGAATTTGATACGGATCAACAAGAAGCTGGAGCTTCCCATCAATCCACAAAGAAAAACGAGCGTTTGGAAATAGCCTATGGAGTAGAAGCTTTGGGATCTGTTACAGGCATAACATGAGTCAAAAGGCATACGACTTCTGTTAACATTATAAGGAAAGATATGCAGCATCAAGCAGCATGCATATCATTTGTAATCTACTAAACTCGGGATTATCTAACCTGATGGAAACAAAAGGACACAGTATCATACCATCATCCACATTTTAAACACTTACCTTCCCATTGCGCCTTCCATCAGTGTAAGGAAGATTATGCACAACAACTATTCTCCATAATCCAGACTTATTACTCTCATTTAGACCGCCGTTAGTTTTCAAGTCAGCTTCTGTTTCTTCATCGACAAACATATAGAAGCAGACAGTTTGCTTGGAATATTCACTAATATGCCTAGGTTCTTGTATGATATCAAAAGCTCCTGGATGAGAATTGGTTATTCAATTAAAATTTGTTGGATCCAACATTTGAGTTGAACCCTAAGATATATATATAGTATGGTTGAATACCAAATATTGCAGATGCAACCACCACTCCATGACATTGCTCCATCTTAAGAAGATCATCATCATTGATGTCAAATCCTGTCCCGTGGCCAGGTTTGCTTCCTTTAACAAATCTAGCAAATTCACGACATACATCAGTCAAAATACTAAATTGGCAAACTACATTAATATATGAATCCGCCTTAGCTGAGCAAAAAAGAAAAGATTAATATATGAATCAAGACATTTAGGATGCCAAAACATGTTCACTTCTAAATTTTAACCCTCACACCTCCCCCCAATGAAAAACAAAAGAGAGGTGAACCATACCCACAATGCACATTCATAGACTCTCGTATGTCATATGAATCATCACGCTGTTTCAGTGTAGGATACCCACCAAAGTCAGAACCTCCAAATTCTGTCACCGTATTTAAGTTTTCCTCATAAATATATGTTAGATTCTTAAGAACTGGAGAAAATGATGGGACTTTTGGCATCAAAGCAACAGCTTCCTCCACAGAAAGGTAACATACAGGACAAGCTGCATCATAAACAAGTAAGAAACAATATGTGAATGGGATGAAACCTGAAACAGCATTGTCAGATTATCAAATCCAAACTATATGTATAAAGAAAAATAATGACAGAATGAGGAGGAACGTACGGCGAGGTCCCGATTTTTTAGGGTCCGCTGGTGGAGGGGGTAAACTGAAATTATTGCATGGATGTCCGGGTGGAAGATTGTAGCCCAGAAAATACAACGGAGGAGGGGGTGGTACCCTAACTTCAGATCCTTCCGCAACAACCGGTAAAGATGTCAAATTGTGTATTCGGATATTTTGCTCTCCATTTATCAGAGGAGATCCAGAATTATTTAGAGCCAAGCTATCATTTACCTTGGGGACATTGTAACTTTCCTGAACTTCATCTGTAAACAAGGCACATTACATTCAATTTTGCATGGTCATACCCTCACAAATTGAAGCCAACCGGCAGCTAGAAGTCCAAAACAAGAATAAAATGAAAGCAGCTAGGGCTATAGACCAATAATCCAAAACAAGGAGTGGAGGAAACAAAATTATCCTCGAGTTTGAAAGCTCTAGATGCACATTTCGTTATTCTAACACTCTAACAAGAACCAAAACACCAAAGATAATAGCTTTACAATTAAGCTCTAAGCAATATATCTACACAAACTAAACATAGTTTTGCCCACTTCTTTCATCAAAATATCAGAATTCAGAACAACATGCCTAAGAATCACAATTCACCATCAGTTCATTTCTAAAATTCACCATGAACAATCCAGTGATGAAGAGAAAGGGGGGGGGACCAACCTTTACCGATGTATAAGACCCATACAAAAACGGCGACAGATATGGCACAAAGGAGTAGCAGTCCAACCTTTGTCCGGCCAGCAAATTTACTGACCCAATGAACCAACGTGTCCTTTTCCTTCAGCAATTTAGAAGGCTTAGTTCTTGTTGATGACAACACGTGAATTGGCAAAACACCATCTTCCAGTTGTTTGTCCAAAGACCCGTTAATGCCTGATCGAATCCCCGGTGACCCTCCGATCATGGTGTCTTTCTTAACACCGCCACCAATTCAGTCCTCACTGCAAACTTCACTTAACTCTACAAAATAGTATTAAACTTAAACCTCGTCAATGGATAATAACTCAACAAAAAGAAAATCCCACTTCAAAATGCTAAAGCATACAACAACTGTTGGGGCGCCACCAAATTGAAGCCAAATAAGGTTCTTAAAAAGAAGAAAACGGAATCTGGGTTTATCAGTTCTTGGATTGGTTGATGAAGAGTTTTGCGAAAACAAGGGAAATGGGCTTTGTTGATCAAATCTCAGATCATGTTCGAGTTAATAATATATCTCTATTACAAGTTTTTTAGATCGAAATACTATATTTATAAAATGATCAGATGAATGTGACATGTAATTAAATCCAGATAGGTTGTTCTGTCCCATGTGCGTATGATGTCAAATAATCCGACGCTGATGCTTTACTTCTGGCTTTGTAATGAAATAAATCAAAGTGAAATATTATTGGTTGAAGTAAAAAAACTTAAGACAACATTAAATTAGAACAAAATGTAAAAACAATTTATATAAAATTGACGTTAAATCTAAATTTTCAAAGTCCAAGGTATCGATCTTTACCTCTATCAGAACTTTATTAATAATTATAAGATGTTAAATTTAATAAAAAAACAATTATCAAGCCACTTACCTAACAATAAATTAATCCAGAATTATTGGAAATGAAACAACAAACCCTAGTTTTTCTTTTCTTTTATTGTGTTGCCGTTAATTTATATAAAAAAAAAGTGCATTATACAAATGATGTTGCGAAAGTCGACTATCGGATAGAGCAAAATCGTAATTGATAATTTGAGAAAATAAAAAAATGAAGATAAAAGAGACACAAAATTTACGTGGAAAACCCCTAAAATTATTAGGGTAAAAACCACGGGCAACAGTAGAAGAATTTCACTATGAGAAAATAGGAATTACAACCTCTCTCGATCTACCAAAGAGAAAACAATGATAATTCTCTCTTGATAAAAAGGATAAAATAACTCTCAAGAAACTCTCTAAATTCTCTATAGTATTGGAAGAAAGCTAGAATGCTTTGGGATGATTTTTGAAGCTAAATGATCTAGGGTATTTATAGATGAAGCTTAAGGATTAATTTGTAAATACCTTAAATTATAATGACTAAATTTGAGGTTTTACCCATACCTAAAAATCAACAAAAACTGCACCACTTTCGGTGCCTAATAATCCAATGCACTTTCGGTGCATTTGTTTTTTCAACAATCTCCCACTTGAAGATTTGATTGGAACAATCATATCTTCACACCATTCTTTCTACCTTGTACCTTCATGTTGCTTACGTTTCTGACAGGCCACAAGAGGATCGACATAAGGTAAATTTATCAGCATTGATCGCCTTCGTCATGAAATCTGCTATATTGTCTTTGGTATGGATCTTCTGCACATCTATCGTCACTTCTTCCACCTTTTCACGAATGAAATGGTATTGAACTCGTATGTATTTTGTCCTTGAATGAAATGTTGGATTCCTTGCTAGATGCAAGGCGCTTTGACTGTCACAAAACAGAGAGACATACTCTTGATTGTGCCCAAGCTCCTCCAATAGCATCTTCAACCAAATTGCTTCTTTACTGGCTTGTGTAGCTGCTACATATTCTGCCTCTGTTGTGGATGTAGCCACAACTGACTGCAACTTAGAAACACAGCTTACAGCTCCATCAGCAACTTTGAACACATATCATGTTATAGATTTGCTTTTATCCAAAATCCCCTGCATAGTCAGAATCTACATACCCATTGATTAGTAAGTTTGATCCTCCGTAACATAATGCAACATTTGAGGTCCCTTTGATGTATCTCAGGATCCTCTTTACTGTATTCCAATGCTCTTTGCCTGGATTCGCCATGTACCGACTAACCACTCCCACTGCTTGTGCAATGTCTGGTCTTGTGCATATCATAGCGAATATTAAACTTCCCACTGCTGATGCATACAGTACTCAAGACATCTCCATCCTCTCTTCTTCACTGCTAGGACTCATACTGGAGGATAATTTGAAGTTAATAGGAAGAGGGGTAGAAATTGGCTTACAATCTTGTATGCTGAATCGTGACAAGATCTTCTTCAAGTAATTCTTTTGTGAAAACCAAATCTTCCTATTACTTCTGTCTCGGTGAATTTGCATCCCTAGAATCTTGTTAGCTGATCCCAAGTCCTTCATTTCAAATTCCCTAGCCAGTTATGCCTTCAATTCTTCAATATGATCTTTGTTGGGTCCTGCAAGCAACATGTCATCCACATACAACAGCAATATAACAAAATCGTTATCACCAGACCTCTTGAAATAAGCACAAGGGTCAGCATTAAGTCTGTTGTATCCAAGGCACATAATGAAGGAATCAAATCTCTTATACCAACATCTCGACGCCTGCTTTAGACCGTACAGAGATTTGTTCAACCTGCAAACCAAGTTCTTCTTTTTGTCTTCTTCAAAACCTTCAGGCTGGAGCATATAAATCTCTTCTTCAAGATTTCCATGAAGAAAAGCTGTTTTAACATCTAGTTGCTCTAAATGTAAGTTCAATGTAGCACACATTGCCAAAACTACTCGAACTGTTGTTAGTCGAAACACGGGAGAAAATATTTCATTGAAATCAATACATTCCTTTTGAGCATATCCTTTGACCACCAGTCTTGCACGATACCTCTCAACTTGATCATCACCATTTCGCTTAATTTTGAAGACCCATTTGTTACCAATTGGCTTCCTTCCTTGTGGTAGTGGCACAAGGTCCCATGTATTATTTTTATGAAGGGATTCGATTTCTTCTTGCATCGCCATCATCCACAGTAAAGCATCTGAGCTGTTTATTGCCTCCTGGTATGTTGATGGCTCACTGTCCTCTGTTAAAAGACAGTATGCAATATTACCTTCTATAACATAATCTGAGTGCCAATTGAGACATCTTCTCACACGATCTGATTGACGAGTTGTTGGAGCTTCAGAACTCTCTGGTTCTTGTTCATCATGTGCTGGTTCTGCTTCAGAAGAATCTCCTTGTTCAACCTCATTTTCCACATGTATCTGAGTAGTCTCCGACTTTTTAGTGCTATCATCGTCTTCTTTTCTTTGTAGTTTATCCTCTACAAAGATAACATCCATGATGATGATCATTTTGCGAGCAACGGGATCCCACAAGCGATACCCCTTGACTCCATCAGCATACCCCAAGAATTTGCATTTCCTGGATTTTGGATCCAACTTTGAAATTTCTTGGGCGTTGTACATCACATACACAATACTTCCAAATACATAGAGGTTTGAATAATCAGCTGGTTTACCAGTCCATATCTCCATTGGTGTCTTCAGCTCTATTGCAGTTGATGGAGCTCGATTCACCAAATAACAGGCGATATTGACTGCTTCTGCCCAGAATGATTTTTCTAGGCCTGCATCCCTCAACATTGCTCTTGTTCTTTCTAACAAGGTTCTGTTCATCCGCTCTGCCACTCCATTTTGTTGAGGAGTGTTTGCCACTGTGAACTGTCTTTTGATGCCTTCTTTCTTGCAAATGTCATCAAATTCTTCACTTGTGTATTCTCCTCCATTATCTTTTCTGAAACACTTGATCTTATTTCCAGAATCAAGTTCCACCCGCGCTTTGAAGTTTTTGAAAGTGGAAAACACATCTGACTTCTTCTTAATAGGGTACACCCAACATCTCCTGGAGTAGTCATCAATAAATGAGACAGTATTTTGCTCCGCTTAGGGATGTAACTGGTGCTTGCCATACGTCAGAGTGAACCAATTCTAGAACACTTTTGCCTCTAGAATTTGATGTGTTGAATTTCAACCGGTGCTGCTTACTTGTTATGCAATGCTCACACAAAGGAAGTAATACCTTTGTTAAGCCTGGAAGTAACTTTTGCTCCACAAGGACTTTCATTCCTTGTTCTGACATGTGTCCAAGTTTCTGATGCCATAGCATTGCCGAATCTGAACTACATGAGGCAATAGAGGCTTCTGCTTCTACCAAAGTCTCTCCCTTCAGCATGTACAAGTTTGCAGTTATCTTTTCACCTTTCAGCACCACAAGCGCTCCACGGAACACCTTCATGATTCCTTTCCGTGTTTCAATCTTGCTTGCATTATTATCCAACAATCCGTAGGATAATAAATTTTTCTTCAGACCTTTCACGTGCCGCACATCTCGAACAACTTTAATTGTTCCATTATACATCTTCAATTTGATGGTTCCCACGCCAATGATTTCTAAGGCATGATCATTGCAACTATACACAAATCCTCCTGAGACAGGTTCATAATGATGGAACAATTCTCTTCTTGAGGTCATGTGATATGTTGCTCCCGAATCAATGAGCCATATATTTGTAAATCGTTTTCTTCCTTCCACGGTGGTTGACACTTCACAGCATAGAGCATCTCCATCATCTGAAGTGTTTGCGGTATTGCCTTGTGGATTGGAGTTTTTATTTAGACTCCAACAATCCTTCTTCAAATGACCCTTCTTTCCACAGTTGTAACACTTTAAATTCTTCTTGCTCATCGACTTCGATCTACCATTTTTGTGACTACTGCTTTGGCCACGTCCTATTGATTTCCCTCTCATCGTTGTCATCGTTGTCAACGCTTCTGCTTGTTGTAGATTTACTTGTCTGTCTTCCTTGTTCTTGCGCCGATTTTCTTCTTGTAGAACAGTAGCTGCAACATCATCAAAGACTAGACTAGTGACATTACTGTTTGTCAAGTTGATGATGAGTTGATCATACGAATCCGGTAGACTTTGAAGTAGAAGTTCAGCACGTTCTTGTTCTCCTATTTTACAGCTTAAGGATGTAAGCTGAGAAAATAAAGTATTCAGTGTATTTAAGTGCTCAGTCACTGAAGTAGATTCTGGCATACGGAGAGTGTACAATTTTCTCTTAAGGAAAATTTTATTGTGCAACGATGTGGTCTCGTACAATTTGGTGAGATGGTCTCATATCTCCTTAGCTATCTTATTCTCCTCGATGCTTGACAATACTTCATCTGCTAATGCTAGATGAAAGTTTGTCATAGTATTCTCATCCATTTCGATCCATTTGTTGTCATCTGTGAAATCCATTGGCCTTTCACTGATAGTTGTTAGACAACCGTCTTTCCTCATGATGGCCTTCATCTTTAATTTCCACAATGAGAAATTTCTCTCATTGAATTTTTCAATATCAAATTTCGTTGTCATAGCTTCTATTATTGATAGCTCCCACTATTTCACTATCGTGAATAGTTCTCTAGAACCTCAAAGAATGGGTAATACCTTCTTATTTTCTTATGTTGGAGGATCCACCTTTTGGTGGTAACCACAAAGACAATAAGCAGATATTACACACTCAAATCTGGCTCTGATACCAATTGTTGCAAAAGATGGCTATCAGATAGAACAAAATCGCAACTGATAATTTGAGAAAATAAAAAATGAAGATAAAAGAGACACAAAATTTACGTGGAAAACCCCTAAAATTATTAGGGTAAAAACCACGGGCAACAGTAGAAGAATTTCACTATGAGAAAATAGGAATTACAACCTCTCTCGATCTACAAAGGAGAAAACAATGATAATTCTCTCTTGATAAAAATGAGAAAATAACTCTCAAGAAACTCTCTAAATTCTCTCTAGTATTGGAAGAAAACTAGAATGCTTTGGAATGATTTTTGAAGCTAAATGAGCTACGGTATTTATAGTTGAAGCTTAAGGACTAATTTGTAAATACTTTAAATTATAATGACTAAATTTGAGGTTTTACCCATACCTAAAAATCAACAAAAACTATACCACTTTCGATGCCTAATAATCCAATGCACTTTCGATGCATTTGTTTTTCAACAAATGATTATCCGTTTATTGTTATTAATAATAATCAAAATATTATAAAAATAATTTTTTATTTAAATAGTTTGCTCAAGGTAAGGTTTTCATGATAAGGCACTAAAGCCTGGTTATCAGCATCTCGTCAAATAACGATATTTCCACTTTTTAATTATGATTAAATTAAATTTTATATCAATGTCAAGAAGCAAATTATTTAAGGGCTTTGAAACATTTATAAAAATGTATTTGATTAAATGACGTGGCGCTCAGTGCTGAGACTTAAAGAAATAACTAACGATATGAAAATCTAAAAAAAAAAAATCATGGATACGTAATGGTTACCATTCCATCCATGAATTTATTGTGATTAAATAAATGCCAATTAATACCGTGATTGTGAATTCAACATCCCAACCCACTGTCAAGCCACGTTTAATTTCCACACATGTTGTAACAGATGATTTCAACCTAATTTTATCCGTTGGTTTTGGTTTTGGTACAATTTGGTATCGAAAATACAGTACAAATTTTGCAGGACATTTTATCTGTTGATTTTTAGTATTTGTAGGATCATACTAATATAATAACGCCATAAATAAACTTAGGCCTACATGGATTTAGATCCACTAGGTATTGGTTGGCCTAAAATTCAAGCCGGCCATGTCCATTCCAAGAGAAAACAAACCAAAACAGCATCAAGAAAACATGCACTAGTGCGTTTAGTTTACGGAATGTAAGATTATCAGTGAGAATAGGATTATCGGTAGGAATAAGATTATTGGAAATATTATATTTAATGTTATATTTTGTGTTTGGTTCGTTTAGCAGGAATGTAAGATTACAGTGTTTGATTAAAGGAATAAAATATTATTATAATATATATTTTACCAAATTACCCTTAGTATATATTTATTTTTTAACAAGTTAAATTCTACTATAATATTACTATAATTAATTTATAAATTTTCTTTAAAAATTTTAAATTCATAAAATTTATATATTTTTTTACAAATTTGAAAAGATAAAAAGGTTTAATGAAAGGGTAAAATTTTATTTTAACCCCTAACTTCGTATAAAATTTTAATTATGGATTTTTTTGTAAATCTAAAATAGTATAAGGATAAATTTTTAATATAACCTTCATAGAATTTTTATTATTCAATGACATAAGAATGATATTTTTGGAAAAAAAAAATTAAGGGCATTTTAGTCCAAAACGCCAGTAATCCAACAATACCTAAGAGAATGAGATAATCACATTCCCGGGTAATATACTCCCAAAATACCACTGTTGGAATAAAAGATTATCGGAAAATATAATTACTGACCAACCAAACGGGAGAATGACATTCCATTCCCCGGTAATCCCATATTCCCATGGGAATGGAATCTACATTCCCCTGTTTGGTTAGTCCGGAAATCTCATTCCCGGTAATGTAAGATTACCAATAGTGAATTTTTTGGGGTATATTACCTGGAATGTCATTATCTCCATTTCCTTAGGTATTGTTTGATTCCCGGCGTTTTGGACTAAAATGCCCTTAAATTTTTTTAAAATATCATTTTTCTGTCATTGAATAATAAAAATTATACGAATGTTAAATTATAAATTTATCCTTAAACTATTTTAGATTTACAAAAAAAATCTATAATTAAAATTTTATATGAAGTTCAGAGGTTAAAATAAAATTTTACCCTTTCATTAAACCTTTTTATATTTTCAATTTTGTAAAAACAAATTATATAAATTTTATGAATTTAAATTTTTTTTAAAGAAAATATATAAATATTTTCTAACTTGTTAAAAAAAGTAAATATATAATAAGGACAATTTGGTCAAATATACATTCCTATAATCTTTTATTCTTTTAACCAAACACGGTAATCTTACATTCCTGTTAAGCCAACCAAAACACAAAATACAACATTCCCAGTAATTATATTTCCTGGTAACATTACATTCCCACTGATAATCTTCCATTCCGTGAACCAAATGCACCATTAAGGTTTTCTACCATTTTTAAAACATTTTCTCAGATCTCATTGCATTTCTTTTTAGTGCATTTCTGATTTAGCCAGACAAATGGTGAAAGCTATTTTATTCGGATTCACTCTTTTACTATTAAGTTTATTCTTCCTAACCCATTTTCAGAAGTACGCCATGATGTTTATTATTCCATTTTTATTAAAGGTGTTACATCTTCTTATCCAATTTTAAAATCGTTTATCTAAATTGAATAATGCTTTCATAAATCACTCATATTATACGTGAATCCATCACTTATTTTTTTTTATAATATGGACTTTATGCAATTTTAAATTATAATATTGTAATTATAGGTGAATTTTATAGAATTAAATTTAGTTGATAATACTTTTATTTTTTTTAATTCCAATTATACATGAAACTAGTAATTTACTTCCAAACTTTTAGCTACCTTACCTATAGTTCTTTTTGTTTGTAGACCTGACTTCATCACATGCAAAGAGAAATGAATCTTCCAAAACAAATAGCAAAACTCCAATTCCAAGTCCAACCAAATAACTTCCACAAATATATATATATATATATATATATATATATATATATTAAAACCCCCAGAATTTATATTCCATCAATATTGATATTTTATACATAGAAATTAAAAATGGACATATACAATTTTATTGTTATTTAAATATATTTTATTTTATATATACTAATTTTATATATGAATATATATAATATAAATAAATAATTATGATATATTATTGGATTAAAAATTAACACATGAATTCTTCATAGGTATGAATAAAAATCATATATAACGAAATTTTAAACAAAATAAATTTAAAATAACTCGTATAATTTACATATATTTAACACAACTTTGATATCACAAAATTTATTAAAACACCAACTTTAACATAAAACAATTATCTAATTAAACTCGGATAATATTTACGTGTAGAAGCAAATATACCTACCAAATACCAACAAGACGGTCGCTGGCCACGAAAAACTTACTACAAGAAATCCGTGCGAACCGTACCATCGAACATCCATCCGTAGCTGTTACTTTTGTCGGTGCCTCTGTAATAATTATTATATAAAAGTACTTTAACGCTCATTCTTCATGAAAACGACACTTTTTTGTCCGATTTTTCTCCACCTTACCTTTTCTTCTGTGTCCTGACAAATACGGGATGGACATTAAATACAAGGAATTTAAACATTTGTAACTTTAATAACCACTGAATTATATGGGTCAAATTTATTCTGATCATTAAGCAAAAAAAAAATTCATTACATCATTAATCTTTCGTTTTAGTTTAATCAAGTCATCATACTTCAAAATCTTAATTGAATATAAAATTTTACAAAACAAAAGAAATAACAAAAATAAATTTTACAAAGCCCCTAAAAATAGAGAACAAATGAGAGGAAAAAAATAAGTGTTCATATTTTTTACATGATAATTTTTGACGACTGATGATTGTTTTTTATTATCCCAATTATGAATTAATTATATTTCGATATGATCTGATAATGAAGGAAGGAAATAAACAACAAAGGATATGAATAAAATAAAAATGTAATTATCTAATTGATAAAATTTATTGTTCAGTAGTCAAAACATAACTCACTCCATATTTAGTGACAAATATGTTAGTTTACCCCAAAAATTCAACTTTATTTTTTAAGAGGGAAAATCAATAAAATAGTTTTTTTTTGGGTGTGTGAAAAAACAAGAGGCTCCCCATTTAAACATGGACTTTTCTGTTTTGGTGGTCCTCACACACACTGGAGCACCGCGTCGCTCAATTGGGCTCCACCTTTTTCCAGTATTCAACCGAAAATATCGGGTTCACGGAATCTACGGTCTCAAAACCTCTCCGTATACACTACGTATACCTTCCCAATCTTCCTTTTGCAGTGGAGGTAAATTCATGGAGTTTTATTTATCTGTTTTTTAGGTTTTACTTCCGACCCATTTTTACTCTCCCATCTTCCCACAAAAAGATCCTTTGGTTTGTTTGGAGAAAAGGTTGGAACTTGAAAGAAATATTGAGCGAGAGAATAAAAACCTCAAAGAAGAGATGCCACCTTCTGTGTATTTGCCATTTACTTCTTAGCTTCACGGTAAAGATCTTGTCTCTGGATGCTTTTTTTTTGTTTTAAGCTATCATACGTAATAGTCGTTGTACTTTGAGATCTTCCCCTTTTTAAATTTTCCTTTTTTGTGCATATATGATCATATTTGGATCTGTTTTTTTTTTAATTACAACGGGGTGTGTATTTGTTTTTTTTTCAACAGATGATTATTTTTTCTTAGCATAATGGGTATTATAATCATGTTTTTTTTCTTCATTTTCAATAAATAAATGATGTTTTTGTTTCGTTGGGGTTTTGTTTTTTTTTTATTTTACTTTTAAATTTCATTTTATTGGTTGGATAACTTGTTTATTTGGTTTGTGGGATTTCCAGGCATTCACGGAAGGTGGTGTTTTGACTTTTAAAGCCTAAAGAGAGAACATTTTTTTATATAAAAAATCATTTTTTGATAGACTGGGAAAAGAAAAAAGAAAAGGGTATTTCAGCCTGTATAGATTAGATGGGTTTCAAATGATTAGCTTTTCAAAAAAAGAAAAAGAAAATGGAGCGGAGATCTAGGCTTGGCAGAGTCTCATTCTTGATTGTTCTTCTTCTAGGCTTTGATTGGTTTCTTGATTTTCAATGAAACCAAAGTTTGATATTTTGGCGGTCAATTGTTGATGAGCTTGAAGAATCTTAGTTTCAAGAGTAATTATTTCAGGAACAATCTCTTGATTGTGTCCCTTCTTCAAAGGAGGAAAACATACAAGGGAAGATTAAAAAAGGGAAGCTTTGGGTTTATGATTTTGTAGTGTTTAAAGTTTGTAAGTATTTGGAGTGAATTACAGAGATCATAAGAAATGTCAGGAGAGGCAAGTTCATGGATTAGGAGAACCAAGTTTTCTCACACTGTTTATCATAGGTTAGACTCATCTGGATTGGGTTATTTTCCTTTGAATCTACAATCAGACAGGAAGCAAGAGCTGAGCTTAGGATCTAAGCCAAGGTCAACTGTGTCTTCCCCTAATCCCAAACAAGTTCGCAATGATCCTCAGATTCAGCCAAATCGGATCATGAACAAGCAAAGATCTTTATCCCCTGTCCCTCAGACTGTTCTGTCGGATACATTCAAGGAAGCAAGGTCCGATAGTAGGAGATTCTCAACCCCACACCCTCGAAGGAAAGGATCCGGCAAGCGACGTCTAGAAAAGTTTTTCCATAAAGAATCTCATGACAAGAAAGGGTCCAGTTCACCTGCACTATCAAATTCAAGCCCCCTTAGGCACTTGGGTTCCTTGAAGATTTCAGATAGGACAAAGGGCAGGAAGGAATCTGCTTGGACCAAGTATTTTGACCATGCTGGTGTGAGGGTTAACGCTGTAGAAGCAGCTGATGAGCACACTGTTGATCTTTCCCAGCTATTTCTCGGTCTTAGATTTGCACACGGTGCGCATAGCCGGCTTTATCATGGCATATATAAGGAGGAAGCTGTTGCAGTTAAGATTATTAGGGTACCTGATGATGACAATGGAGACTTGGCTGATAGATTAGAGAAACAGTTCAATAGAGAGGTTAATCTTTTATCTAGACTCCACCATCAGAATGTTATAAAGGTAAAATTGCTTTTTCATTTGTATGATTATATCTTGTTTAGGAATCAGATTTATATTGCTTTGAATAAATCATGATTTGAGAATTTTCATGTCATAATGTGTTACAATTCTCACTTTTACTCGTGATCTGTTAACCAGTTTATAGCAACATGTAGAAAGCCACCGGTTTATTGTGTTATAACAGAATATTTATCAGAGGGTTCATTAAGGGCATACTTGCACAAGCTTGATGACAAGTCTCTTCCATTGAAGAAGTTACTTGTTATTGCTCTCGAAATCGCCCGTGGAATGGAATACATTCATTCTCAAGGAGTCATTCATCGCGATCTTAAACCGGAGAACATCCTTATTGATCAGGAATTCCACATGAAAATTGCTGATTTTGGTATAGCTTGTGAGGAGGCCTATTGTGATCTACTGGCTGATGACCCTGGGACTTATCGTTGGATGGCACCGGAGATGATAAAAAAGAAATCGTATGGAAGGAAGGTGGACGTGTATAGCTTCGGACTGATCTTGTGGGAAATGATTGCGGGAACTATCCCATACGAGGATATGAATCCTATGCAAGCTGCTTTTGCGGTTGTGAACAAGGTATGTCCCTAAATATCATCCTCCTAGGTAATATATATGCATGATATGACTGTCCTAAGTTCATTCAGGCCGTTGCTCATAAAAACTGTCCTTGAGAATGAACTTACAGTCCGACTGTTGATATTTTTTAGATGGTTTTTCATCTCCTTGATCATCTTACAGTCAACCGAAGATTGAAATCTTGGTGCACAAAATATGGTATAAGACTGCATTGAAAATCTTTACAGTCAGATTTTAGACTGCATTCGGAATATAATATAAAACAGAAGATCACAATCATATCAACATGTGGCTAATCTAACACCGTTCGGAACAACAATAGATACTTAATATGAAGGCAGCATCACAGTTCTCCAATCTTTGACTGTACATTGTTTGGATGATATTTGGGAAGTTGGGCACATGGCTATTAGCAGAGATTATTCTGCTTGAATTTTTACTTGCATTACATGGGGGAACTGAATTATAATTGTGGCATCTTTCTGAGTGATGTGTTGACTTGGTTTTATATGATTATATCTGTAATTCTGATATCAGAACTTGTGTTTTTCCTAGAATTTGAGGCCTGTTATCCCCAAAGACTGTCCACCCACCATGCGAGCTTTAATCGAGCAATGTTGGTCATTAAACCCGGAGAAGAGGCCAGAGTTTTGGCAGATAGTGAAGGTGTTGGAGCAATTCGAGCTGTCACTCAATCGTGATGGCACCCTGAATTTGATGGCAAACTCAAGTTGCCAGGATCATAAAAAACGGCTGCTTCATTGGATTCAAAAGCTTGGTCCTGCACACAACCCTCACTCTAATGTCTATGCTCCACCTATGCTTAAACCTAAGTTCTCATGAATATTTATTTGGACCTGGCTTTTGTAGTGTCACCGGGTCGATTGTAATTAGAAGCTTCGTTTTCTAAGCTGCTGCTTTCTTTATATGTACTTTTTATGTACCTCATATGTCACGTTCTTGTGGGAGTGAATGAAATAGATTGGTAGGCAATGACAGGGTTTCATGTTCTATTTATTTATTTTTATACAGTTTCTGAGTTAGGCATAATAACACAACCCTTTAGTTGGAGGTAGATAATCGTTTTAGCGACTGAATTCATGATTTTTATTTATGAAAATAATAATGATGTTAATTAAGATATTATTTTATAAAATAAAAATAAAAGTTACTAGTTATTTCATGATTTTTGTGTCAATCAAACTAAGATGTTATTTTAGGTGTCAATTTTTTCTTTTGGATAAGTAAAAATTTTATTATCCAAATAAGAGTTCAATACAATAATCCCAAGGATCAAAGAAAACTATATACAACAAAAATGATTAGTCTATACTCCAATTGTGACAAAGAAGCATATTAAAATTGTCAAGTCTATTGAGTTCTCTATTCCTAAGTTGAGCACCCAGTATCTCTTTAATAGAACCAAGTATCTCTTTAATAGAACCAAGCAAATCTTCAACAGTTCGAGACTTTCCTTGAAAAATACGTTTGTTTCTCTCCTCCCAAACCTTGTAAATGAAAGTACACCAAACAATCTTCATGATGGAGGTTAAAAGAGATTTACCTTTCCAAGTTGAAGAAGCTCAAGCAAGCTTGTTTTCCCATGACATATAAGGTAAGGACAGGTGAGATAGATTTAAAATACCAGTCCAAAGAGCAATAACCATATTACATTCAACAAATAAATGGTTTCTCGTTTCAAGGGCATCATTGCAAAGGATACAATAACCAAAATTGGTGATTCCCATTCGTAAAAGTCTCTCCCTAGTAGGGAGTCGATCGAGGATTGCTAACCAAGTACTAATACTGAATTTAGGAATATAGAGTGGAAACCAAATAAGCTTATGCCAAGGAACTTTGTCATGCTTGATTCGAGTCTCTTCCCAGATTACTTTAGTATTCGTAACTCCTGCATTAAGAATGGGGATGGCCTCATTTTTCAGCTTCAAAAGTGTGTTGAAGGTGTAACTTGAGGAAGAAAAAAAAGACATGTGATTAAAATCATTAGACTTGATCACATAGGTATAAGTTCATGCAATCCATAAGGAACCTTGACCAGCAATGAGGTTTCGAATGAGTTGCATCATGCAGACCTTGTTCCATGTTTTTAAGTCTTTTAAGCCTAATCCTTCTTCATATTTGGATCTGCATATTATATTCCAACTAACTCTTGCTCCAGAGGCTGAAGTGTCAGAGCCTTTCCATAGGTATCTTGAACAAAGCTGATTAACTCTGTTAATAACAGATTGGGGAAGCATGAATTGTCTACACCAAAAGTTAGCAATGTTTAGTAAAACTATTTTAACAAGTTCTAACCGACCTGCATAGCTTAAATGCTTTCCAGACCATTGGTGAATCCTTAATCTGATATTGTCAATAAGAGAATAACAATCCTTAGCAGTAAGTTTCTGAGAGACAAGAGGGACTCCAAGTTATCTCACTGGTAGAAAACCAAATTTGAAACCAGTAGAGATGTTAATGATTTCAAGATTCCTAGGAGAAATTCTTGCTTCAAAAATTTCAGATTTGACCACATTGAGTTGAAGTCCAGAGATATCATAGAATTTGTTGAGAACATAAATAACACAAGCAATAGATTCTAAATTTCCTTTGCAAAAAATTAGAAGGTCATCTGCAAAAGTAAGATGGGTGAGACCAAGTTTTTTGCATTTTAGGTGATACCCAATGTTCATTGCTAGAGCAAAAAGAATGGGAGATGATGAGTCACCTTGCCTTAGACCTCTTTGCCCTTTGAAATAGCCAATTAAAGAACCATTGAGAGAAATTAAATATCTTGCTTCAGAATAACAAGCTTCAATCCAAGCAATGAATTTTTGAGGCAATTCAATGGCTTTAAGGATAGAAGAAATAAATCCCCAGTCAAGAGAGTCAAATGCTTTTTGAAGGTTTATCTTGATAGCACACCTTGGAGAAATAGACTTTCTTCCATAGCCTCTAACTAGGTCTTGGGTTGGGAGAGTATTGTCAATAATGTTTCTACCCTTAACAAAGGCTGTTTGATTTAGGGTAATTATGTCAAGAAGCAAGTTTGTGAGCCTCTTGACAAGAATTTTAGTTATTTCCTTATAAACCACAAAGCAACAGGAAATGGGTCTATAATCTGTTACTTTGCTAGGGTTAGTGATCTTAGGAACCAAGGCAATAATAGTATAGTTAAAAACTGGTAAAATGAAAGAGTTATGAAATAAGTATTTTACAGCTTTTATCATATCCTCACAAACCACTGACCAGGTTGATTTAAAGAAAAAAGGAGTATAACCATCAGGGCCATGTGCCTTATCATTTCCTTGACTGAAGAAAGTTTCTTTAATCTCCTCATCAGTGATGTTTCTATCCAAATCTGCTAAAGCTTCAAAGGGCAGATTAACATTAAGCAGATTTTTAAGAGCTTGAGGGTCATTGCCTCTAACATTCTGATCAACATGACCTAACTGTTTTAAAAAAAAATTTGATAATTTCAAAGGTCATGTCATCAAAATCTTCAAGTCTGCTGCCTTGATCATTCACTAGAACTCTAATTGTATCTCTCTTATTTTTAGAGGCAATGACAGTGAAAAAAATAAGAGAGATTCAATTAGGTGTCAATTTTATTTATTAAAAAAGTTAAAAAGTAAAAAGCAAAACATATTCTTTGAATTAGGAGGCCATGTCCCAATCTTGTATAGGTACAGTGTAACAAACGTGGTCTACATTAAATATTAAAAAAAATTGGACGGTCGGTTATCCCTACCAAATATCGATGTCAATGAAGCACATCTATCTCTGATAGTTTGGGCTTAGTAACATACATTTTAATAAACTACACTATTGGTTATTATTGAATTTTATATTGTCTTGTTTTGGTCATAAAATTATAAATATATATATAAATATAATTTTTATACTAAATTTTCGAATTAATTTTTCTTAGTATTAAATTTTTAAATCACTAATGGATGACGTAGTTTCTATGTCTTTTTAGAAAATTGTAAACTAATATGAACAATTCTTACATACGAGGAGAGGGAAAAATAATTTTACTCTTAATGAATATCGAACTTACAATTTAAGGAATGGAAAAAATGTTAAATGAAATTTTTTAATTAACTGTTCTGGAGATTGATACTATTTTGAGGACATTTTAAATACATATAACATTTGAAAAGACTTTACATTGAACTGATTGAAGTCTAAGTAGCGTAACAATATCCATGAAGGTACATGAACGTAAAATTTATGTGAATCTGATCGAATTCGGTGAGGTATGTAATCTTCTAGTTCCAACGAGACCACCATCACCTTGGATGAGACAGGCTCTCATGAATACAACGACTACTTATTGTCTGTTGAGAAGAGTATGCATTTTATACTTATGATCTTTTAAAATAAAAAAATCATGTATAATGCAATATTGTTATAATAATAATAATTTTCTGTCCAGTTGGTGATATAATTATAAAATATATTTTTTAAACATAAACACCACAAATTTATGGATTTTCGATAATATTGTTACTACCAGAATATTAAAGTTGGGGAAAAGATTAAGAATGTGTACGTTGGATTCAGGACCACAAAACTCAAAAGTAAGTGGCGTGGTCCATTTTAGTCCGTAGAGGTGCAGGTGTGACGTAAGACTCGTCGGTCTTCTTTCCTGAGTTACAGTCCAGGCTTCAGATCTATTATATATTTTAGCATTTTGTGTGCAAATCCACAGGATATTCAAACCCTATTAGGTTTATACTAATTCTTGTCAGCTTCTATCTCATGATATATATTTTGCTTTTTAATTGGCTTTGGCTATCAGTTTCTGCTGGGGGAAGCTTTATTTCAAGGCTTTCTCACGACAAAGAGATCGGTAAACACATCAACTATTTTATCTGTTAGCTGCTTTTTAACTATTTGTTTCCCAAATATCAATAATATCAATGGAGAACAACAACCCTAATGATTCTTCAAGACCAGATAGAAAACTCATCGAGAGAAACAGGAGAACTAAGATGAAAGCTCTCTGTTCCGAGCTCCATGCTCTCTTACCCCATCACAACTCTAGGGTTTTTCTCTTCCTCTCTTTTCATGCAATTTCTTTCTTTCTTTGCATTGCATGATGTATGAAATGTTTTTTTTGGAAAGGAACCAACATCACTGCCTGATCAGCTTCATGAAGCTGCAAAGTATATAAAAAAGTTGCAGACAGATTTGGAGAGAATGAAGGAAAAGAAAGACAGCCTGATGGGAGTTGAAAGGTGGAAAAATACAACAAGCAGCAGGAGTAATGAACCTAAATCGCCTGAAATACACATTCATGAAATGGGTTCTTCGTTGGTGATCGGGTTAACAACCGATACCAACACTTGTCGGTTCATTTTTAATCAGACGATTCGTATTCTTAATGAAGAGGGAGCCGAGATTACTAATGCCAGTTTCTCTGTCGTTGACGATACTGTTTTCCATACCGTACATCTTACGGTAGCCATTTTAACTTCTCTCACTTTCATCGATACCATTAAAGTTGAGGGAATGGTTTAATATATTTGAGAAATTGTGTAGATTGGGCATGAATCGGCACCGGATTATGGGGCTGCAGCCAAGATATCAGAGAGACTGAACGAGTTTATCAATGATGCTGATGATGCATGAGAGCTGCTGTGTAAACAATCTGAATTAATTACCCTATTCTGACAGATCAAGCAGGTGCCATTGCCACGTAATTAAAGCTATTTCTTGCTTGGCAACGACCAGATCTAGTGTTATGGACTATGATGTTTTCGATTCCCAAGTTTCTATGTGCAACATTAGAACCTAGTTAAATTAAGGATTGAAACATTAGCAAGTACTTTTATATGTTGTTTGCTTTAGCTTGGACATATATTATTTCACTCATTTTATAGTTTTTATGTAATTTCGTTAGACAAGAAATGATCTTTCTCTCGAGTCTTTGGGGAAGTTATATAATATAGGTTAAATTAGTGAAATATTGTTGTTTAATTTTTTATAATTTGAAAGGAATAGTGATTATAAGAACTTATTTAGGGAAATAGGTGAATGTATAATAACCAGTGAAGTTGCATGGAGCTGAGGGCAACTTTGCTCTTTTTTTTTTTTTGCAATTTTGATACAATAAATATAAGAAAATGAAAATGCATGGATTAAAATGGACATTTTTAGAAATTATCTTTTTGACTAAATTGTGAGTTTGAGAAAATTAATAATATTATTATTTAAAATATAATTATATTGTAAATTTTTGAAAAATCTTTAACTTGCAGGACTTGAAATAAAAATTTTCAAGAAGGTTAAATTGAAACGGTGCTTTTAATTTAATATGAAATATAATATTTGTTCATTTTTAGCTTATCCTTGTCCGAGCCGGTAGAAGTTCTCGAAAGACATGCCCGATCTTTACCTCCCATTGCTTTGGCCATAAATATGCTGGAGTAGGGTGGATTCCATGTTCTCGTTATTCTTCTTTTGGATGACATTCCTCACTTTCAAACTATTCGTCTCGAGAATCACTTTGCGTGTTCCTAAGTTCCATGCAACGGTTAAGCTTTCAAACACTCCCAGGAGTTCTGCTTCTCTGCCCGTACACATGCCGATGAACTTGGAGAAGCCTGTTATCCAGCGACCTTTCTCATTACGTATTACCCCCACATGATGTTGTTCCAGTCGATCCCCATCTACATTGAGTTTCCACCGATCCGTCGGGATGATTGTTGATTCTAAAGGTTTTAGGTTCGAGCAACAATAACTACAAGGAAATAATGATAAATTTTGATATAAAATAATTAATTTTTTAAATTCGTTAGATTAAAAATGAAAAATAATCAAATAATTAAAACTATTAAGAAAATTTTAAAAATTCAAAATTAAATGCCAAAACAATAATTTTTTTTAGAAGAAAATGGAGATAAGGCACATTTAGCTCTTGTCAATACATACATCTTAAAAAATTATATAATTTTTCTAAAAAATCACTCCAATTGGATAATCATGTATAAATTATGAAATTACAGTTTTATATTTTATTTATAGTTAAAACCTCAAAATTTGATTTCTTTAAACTCTTCGTTTAACTTAAGGGAGTGTTCTTTTTCTTTTTTAAAAAATAATTTTTAATTATTTATTTTTTTATAACCCGATCCTAAAATTATAAAAGAATATTCCAATCATCATCAACTGATGATGATTTTTTCAATCACTGCATAAATTACCTTAATCTACTAAAGAAATTATAAACAATATTATTTTCCATAAAGAAATCAACAACACTTCGCAAATTTAGTAAATTGTTGATCCTATATAGGTTATCATTTCATTTCCCATGCTTTAGTATGATGTTGAAGATGATCCATCATATGGAACTATGGAAGGTTAATATTAAAGGCCTTAACATTATTTATACAGCTAAAAGCACAATTAACCAAAGTGGAGAACAATCATTTCATGTTCCCATCTGTGTGTCTATGCTCAACTTTGAAAACATTTGCATTGACTGAATAAGGATTGTAATAATATGGGGTGTCTAAAATATGTCTTGTCCCTCTCTAATCGTGCATTATTGGGTGTCAAAACAATATGGTTTATGGGCAATAAAAGCCTAAGTCCCACCAACACAATCATGAATCCAAATATGTCTTTATTAATATCAATCCCTCCTCAACTTTTATATCTAGATAGCCTTTACCACTTCCATTTATAAAGGGGGGGGGGGACGATTTCTATCATTCATGAATTGGACTGCATGTATCATTCATGCATACATTAATTAAATGCCCATTATTAGTTGTAATGAGGCCCGAAATATTTCCAGCAAACTCAACCTGAAGAAACCCACATTCTGAAAAACAATAAACAACACCCATTACGATTTAATAAAGTGAATATTCGATCAAGTCGAGCTAAGTCAAATTATAAAATTTTTAGTTAATCGAGTTAACGAGTTTAAATTTATAAAATAAAATATATTTACTTTTTTATCGAGTTGAATAAAAAAATTTGAGTTTTTATTCAAATCTAATTATAATTATTTATAATAATATGATACAAATTTGTTTCAATTGAAACAAGCTTATTTTAAAAAAAAATATATAAATAATATTTATAATAATAAATTAAATATCACCAAAAAATATATATATAATGTTATTTTTTTAAAATGAATTTTGAGAATAAATAATTGATTAGAGTATAAAGAGACATTAAATTAATAGGAAGAAATAATTTATAAAATGTTTTAGTCGCATGACCATATTAAATAAAATATAAAATTGTTGTTAAAATAAGAATTAAAGCCGTATAAATATTCTATAGTTTAATAGGAGTAATGATTCACATTTAGTAAAAATATACTTAAATTGAAGGAGTAGTTAAAGAAACATAGAAAGCATACTAGGTTGAAGGATTAAATTAAATAAAGAGAAAATTATTTTTTTTAAATATCAAAGTTGGGTAAGTATTTTAAAGTGGTGTAGTAGTGTGGTTCAAATTTACTGCTTAATACAAAAGAAGAATTGAAAAAAAAGGCTTAATACCTAAATAATTGTTCAAACTATATTCTTTTTACCTAAATTTATGCCTACAGGGCTTTTTTTGCCATCTAGATGCCTAATGTTACAAATGTGACCATTTTAGGTGCCCAGGACGTAACGGCCGTTAATTTTTTTCGTTAAATGATACATGTCACAATCGTTAATTTTAAATTTTATTTTAAAAATATAATAAAAATATTATTATATTTATAAAAAAAATCCTAATTTCTTCTAAATTACAAAAAAATCTCTAAATCCTAAAACTAACCCGCCGCTGCCGCCCTTTTCAGTCACGACACTACCATCGACGTATTCCCTGTCATCACCCTAGTTATACGTCGTCGATTGGTCGTCGGAATCGCGTGGGATTGCGATTTTCATCCTAGGGTTCGCGGGGTAAAAAATTTGATTCACCGTTAACCGGTCACGATTTTATATGGATTTTGGTCGTCGGGGAGATGAGGTTGGGTGGATCTTCATCGACGGCAAAGGGTAGCGGTCGACGTGGGTTTAGGGGTTAAAATGAAGGTTTTTAAAGTATTGAGGTTCTTTCAAAATTTATGTGTTTTCTTTTTAAATATATATATTTGAATTTTATATAAATTTATAAAATTATTAGATTGTAACAAGTGTCTCTTAACGGGAAAAATTAACGTTGTTGACGGCCTGAATACCTAAAATGGTAATGTTTGTAACGTTAGGAAAAGAATATAGTTTTGGAGCTTATTTATGTATTAAGCCTTGAAAAAATAAAAAAATAAGATTTTAAATTGTAAAATAATTAAATATTTAAGTTAAAGATCAAAAAAATTATTTTGCAGTTTTTTAATTTGATAAAACTCGAATTATTGAAACTTTAACATCGAATCACCAATTAAATTTAACTTGAATAATTTTTATTTAATAATTTAAAATAAAAATATTTTTAAGAGTCGAATTTTGTTTCCGTGACGTTTAGGGTTTACTTAGTCTTCCGCCCTAATCCACGGACCAGCGGAGTTTAAATTCAATTAATCCCTTACGCTGCATCAGGAAAATCCAATCCAGTGATCAGTTACAATGGTGGGAGTTTTCGAAGTTGGAGCAATTGCGTTCAATCCCGACGGATGGGGTCCACCCGAATCAACCACCGGCACCCCACTAAGTACAACCACCACACTTCCTCCCCACGTCCCCTTCGCTACTTTCTCCCGCTCTGAAAGGCTTGGCCGGATCGCCGACTTCACCCGCAATTTTCCCTCTTCAAATGCCAACGCATCGAATCGCCCTTCCTCTGGGAAACCCGGATCAGCCGACTCTCCCTTCGATTTTTCTCTCGACCTCGACGCCTTCCCTCTCGCCAATGACGATGGTTCCGCCTTCCGTTTAGTCGACGCCAAGCCTCCATCTCGTCCTAAGTTTGGCCCTAAGTGGCGTTTCAACCAACACCGACCTCAACTCCCCCAACGACGAGATGAAGAAGTCGAGGCCCGGAAAAGAGAGGCTGAGAAGGAGCGAGCCCGCCGCGACCGTCTTTATAATCTCAACCGGTCCAATCAGAACCAGCAACGTCGTGAAGCCGCGATCTTTAAATCCTCCGTTGTTATACAACCGGAATGGAACATGCTCGAACAAATTCCCTTCTCAACATTCTCCAAATTATCCTTTTCCGTCGCCGACCCAGAGGACTTACTTTTCTGTGGTGCATTAGAGTATTACAATAGGTCTTTTGATCGAATCACCCCAAAGAACGAACGGAGATTGGAGAGGTTCAAAAATAGAAACTTCTTTAAAGTTACCACGACTGATGATCCGGTCATCCGGAGATTGGCCAATGAGGATAAAGCCATTGTTTTTGCGACTGATACGATTCTGGCAACGTTAATGTGTGCACCCAGGTCTGTTTATTCATGGGATATTGTTGTTCAACGTGTTGGGAATAAACTATTTTTCGATAAAAGAGATGAGTCACAATTAGATTTAGAGAAAATCGTCTCAAGTGATCAAAAATGTCTTATAATATACGATTTTAACCAATTTTTTTCGGATTTACCAAAATGACCAACAAAATCGCAATGCGATCGCTAATTCGCAACGCGATCTCCATTATCGCAAATTCGCGTTGCATTTTTGCAATGCGATAGTTGGAAATCGCGTTGCGATGGTCTACAGTGTCGTTGTGATTTTACCAATTCGCAATGCGAATAAGTAAATCGCAACGCGAATTGGGAAAATCGCAATGCGATACTGACTATCGCAATGCGATATATACAAAATCGCAACGAGATACTGACTTTCGCAACGCGATTTTGACTTTCGCAACGCGATTCTGACTTTCGCAACGCGATTCTGACTTTCGCAACGCGATTTACATAGCGTCATTTGTATTAACGCGTATTTTTTTTTTGAAATTCCAAACACGATTTTTTTCTTAATAAATCGGAAACTGAACCGTCCACAGTAATCGCAACTCATAACCTCAAACCCAAAATCACAACACTCAGTCCCATCTCCATCTCTCACTCTCTACGGCGAAATCCGTCCCCATCTCCGAAGATTTCCGTCCCCATCGCCGACGAAATCCCTCACAACCATTCACAGTCAAAAATCCCTCACAATCATTCAGAAATGGAAAATCAACCTCCAACGATTAGTTTTTTTTATTTTTATTTTGAAATTTTTGCATTATTTTAGGTTTTTCATATTGAGATTGATGATAAGTTTACTGGTAATTTCAATAATAGATTAACCATTTCACTTAGATTTCTTATTAAATTCATTCGATTGCTGCCAATACTGCTAAACTGTTTAGCCTGTGAAGTTAGTATTTGTCTTTGTTTTGTCTTTTGGTTGAAGTAATGCAGAAGAAGAATAGTTTCGAGAATGAAAATCGCAACGCGGAAATAACTATCGCAACGCGAAACCAAAATCGCATTGTGATTTTCATTTGAAGCATTCACCTGCACAAAGAAAATTGTTTGAAGAAACCTGTTTCGGGCCATGGCTGAGAGTACAGCATCGGGGTGGAGATGCTAATTTGACCTATTTGTGGCTTCAGACCATGACTGAGATCTACCCGACAGTATACAACGTGGTGAGGAAGATATGGTTTCATTTTCCACCGGCGTATACTTGTTTTGGGCGGAAGGAGTTCTGCTTAATCACTGGTCTACGATTCGGACACGATGATGTAGGCCGGTACACTCGTCATATCACCCGCCCATCATGGTTATCCAGGGTTTTTCCTGATGAGTCAATAGAGAAGTCGAACTTACACGTCGACGACATGAAGAAATTGTTAATAAGAAAGATGGTTTTACTCGGATGAATGACGTCGATGTTGTCCGAGTATGCCTTCTACTTTTGTATGCCGGCTTTTTAGGCAGAGAGGCAGACAACCTATTCCTCAGGAGCTAATATTATTGGTAGAGGACCTAAATGCATGGAATCTGTTTCCGTGGGGTTCGTATATGGAAAGCTACCTGGGACAAGTTGTCGTCTGCCTTTGATGACCGCAAAAGTTTGCGGGGCGATGGGTCGAAATACACTTTGTTAGGCTTTATTTGGGCCTTTAAGGTAAGAATTTCTATATAATGTTTTCAAAAATTATAATTAATTATTTAACAATTACTAATGTTTGTTATTATTGTTTGTAGATTTGGATATTCGAGGCCTTTCCCGCCATGAAGACATATGCAATAAAAACTTCAAATGATATTCCCAGGGCTATTTCCTGGAAGAGGAAAGTCTGTTGGATTGGGAAGATTAATACCATATGCGACAATAAATAATGTAAGTTAACAAATACTATCATATATAAACAAGTTATTAATAGTAGACGTTTAACTTTGTTTGAGTTTTTATATTTTAGGAGGCCAACATCCATTAATTAGACTGACACCCACGGAGGCTGAGCTTGCCACTGATTGGTGGCAAGCTAGTCAGCGTTTTCTTGATGGCACGAATGATGAGCAGCTCCACTTCCTCCACTTCGAGAGCCTCACCTCACCCAGAGCCATCACCTGATCGACCCGACTATACACCTCTACAACGAGAGCCATCACCTATCCCGTCACATCATCGAGCTCTTCTCCACCATCACCTCATGATAGGCGACCGGTAAAGATGCCACGACTTCTATCTCCCTGTTCCACCTCCACGGGATGAGTCAAGGGAGTACGTGAGAGGTCAATGCCTTGCGTGGGGAGATTGATACTCTACTCGATAACGATGGGCATGGCGTGTGGAGGTGTCTACTTTACGTGGTGAGGTTGCCGCTCTACGTGAGATGGTAGTATCGTTGCAGAATGAGGTTCATACTCTACGCAACGAGGTAAGTTTAAGATTTTCCATATTTAACTTGATGATAAATTTACTCGTAATTTCACTTAAATTAACCATTTCACTTAGATTGCTTAGTAAATTTATTCGGTTGCTGCCAAAACTGCTAAACTGTTTATTAACATTGTGAAGTTAGTATTTGTCTTTTTGTTTTGTCTTTTGGTTGAAGTAAATTTATTCGGTTGCTGCCAATTCTGCTAAACTGTGTATTCTTTAACACTGTGAAGTTAGTATTTGTCTTTGTTTTGTCTTTGGTTGAAAGTTTGAAATATATTTGTCTTTGTTTTCACTGTTTAAATATCATGTCTGTTTATTTACTGATATTTTGTATTTAATTATTTAGCGGACCGATAAAGTGGATGCTTTACGTCGGGTTTTCTTGCACGACAGAGTTCACGCATCAGACGGCGTGCACGTGCTATTAAGTCCGTATACCCCAATAGTGCGAAGACACCGCAAGAAAAGCCCGACTCGCCTGTCATCCCTCAAGAGTCCACTCCTATCGTTGAAGAGGCCCCTATCATTCCTCGACCTCCCACCGTTCAAGAGGCCACTGTCATCGTTGAAGAGGTCCCTCCCACCATTCAAGAGCCCGATTCACATGGCGTCATATGTGGGATTCTGAGAAACCTCTGACGTGCCGGACATGATGGATTCAAGTTGGCTCTCGTATGAGTTACCGGCCAGTACCATACCGGTATCTGAAGTGGAGAGGAAACAACTACCGGACACAATTCTGGATACACCCTTTGGGCTAAGACCGCAGTGATTTTTATCTACATGAGCGAAGCCAGGGGGTTTCACTGACATATGCAAGCTCAATGATGATATCTATTTGTTGCTTGATCGGTCTTGGTGGGGCGTATTATTAGGGGTCGAAGACAATGGCTATTTCGATGGAGGGGTAAGTCTTATATTTTTCTTATATTTTAATTTGATTATTTTTTTGTAAATTTATGTAAGTTACTAATATATGTCTTTTTTTGTAAAATAGCATATCGATACGTGGGTGTCACGTCTTCTAATAATTAGGAAACTTAAGGAAAATAAAAGAAATACACGATATACAATTATGCCGACGTCTTTTAACGCCGTTCACTTGAAGAATCAACGAGATGAATCATTTGCGTTGGGCAATGGACAAGCTAAACTTTATCCTGCATGGTGGGAGGTCGATAAGGTTAGTGTTTATTTTAGATTGAGTTTAAAGGTATTCATAAATAAGTGAGCAAATAAATGAATTATTACTTATGATTGCAGGTGTTTATCCCTGTTTTGGAACGTAACCATTGGCTTCTCGTCGAGCTTCAGATCCCATCCCTTAAGGCAATAGTATATGACAGCATGATAAATTACATATCTTGGCTGATTTAAGAGATATTATTAAGGGATAGAGCTCTTATTTGGCTAAATTCTTGGATGCGATAAATTATTGGACTCGTTCTGGAAACAAGAAGCCAAAGAAGCTCAATATTACAGTTAGAAGAGACGAGACCGCACCACAACGAACGAAAGGACCCAGAGGGGATTGTGGTCCTCTCGTATGCTTGGCGTTGGACCGTTTGATCACAGGAAGCATAAAGTATCTACCTCCCACCGATATAGATAGAGCTGCAGTAGGCTTGTGGTTTCGACATTATATGGCTAGATCGATATATACGAGACGCTGCTTACCTGTATCCGCGTTATAAAAATGTCCATAAACAATTGGTACGTTTATAGGCTTGTGGTTTGAAAATGTTTGGTTAAGTACCTAGAATTCAATAATTTGTTGTTTGTAGGTTTTAGATGTGTAGAAAGTGTTGTTTGAGCAAATGTTTGGTTTATGCAGGTTAATCTCAGAAGTGAGCTGCGTGAAAATGATGTATGGCTGCAAAATTTGATTCAATAGTAGAAGTGTTATTTTCTCTAATAATTATTGCTTATTTTTTGATTGTTTAATTGATTTGTAAAAGGTGATTTGTAAAAGTTGATTTGTTTAATTGATGTTAACATAATTCTTATTTGTGCTTGTTTAATTGATTGAAATGTAATGGTTGATTTTGTTGATTTCAATCTGTATTATGTTGAAGGCAAAAAGTACTATCGCAATGCAAAATGAAAATCGCAACGAGAGAATCGCAACGCGAAATGAAAATCGCAACGAGAGAATCGCAACGCGAAATTAAATTCGCGTTGCGATTTCATTTCGCATTGCGATTCCCTCGTTGCGATTTCATTTCGCATTGCGAAATTAGTGTTGCGATTTTCATTTCGCATTGCGATTCTCTCGTTGCGATTTTTATTTCGCATTGCGATAGTAATTTCCGCGTTGCGATAGACATTAAGATGATTGCCTATAAGTGATAACAACTGAACAGATCATAGCAATTTTCAAACTCAAGTTACTAATACATGCTAACTGAAAATGTTAAAAGTTCACACATAAAATCTACATAATACAACGTTTGCATTTAAAAATCACCTAAGTTAACAGTCCAAAAGGTGAAGCCAGTTGTGATTGGGATTTTAAAGATGATTGCGATTTTGATTGCCTTTTCTTGACACCATATGAGCTTTGGATTTTGATGATGATCCATATTTTGGTAGAGGAAAAGATGATTGTGATGGCACTGGTGATCCACATGTCAACCTTGTATGACCACTTTCCTTGCACCG